TTGTATCCAATGAGCAATCATTAGTGCAGGAAATAAAGTGAAAATTTAGTTACTGACCATCAAAAACATATGCCTGAATCTGACCCTTAGTGTTACTTAGCTTGTAGAAAGCTTCATTTGCTTTGTCAGCAATGGCACGATACTGAATTGATGCGACAACATTGACAAATACATTATCCTGAATATTATAGCAATCAATGTATTAGCATAACTCATAAATTTGGACAAACTTACACCTACTAAGTTTATGCTATAATTAAATAGTGTATGATGCTACCTCATATATTTCAAGCAAAACTAATTCAGAGACAGGAATTAAAAAAGTAGACCTTCGTCTTGGTTTCACAGCGCACATCTAGTTGCTGCACCCTGAGGGAGAGATGACCAGCCAACTGGCTTCCGAGGAACCAAGGTACACAGTGGCACCCTGGCTCAAGCACATCCTGATACTTGCCAAACTGCTCCTTAATCGCAACAGTGGATTGATCAACTTGAACACAACAGAACAAATTGCCCATATTCTGAAAGGACAGCATAAAAAACAGATATTAAGAGTGTTTAATCACGAAGATATCCACATATTGATCCACTAAACCTGCTGAAATAACATCAAAATCAATTGGATCAAGTATACTTGTCTTTATAACACTAACCAGCAATATAAGGAAATTTCAGATTCCAGTAGAAAAGTTTAACCCTCCAGAAATTTGTCAAACACAAAATTACACAAAAGAAACACCAGTTTACAGATTCAATTTGAATACCACAAGATCAGTACTTCAGTATAAAAAAAGGAGTAATTTAGAGGTAATGATTCAGTTTTTCCCTGGCTTTGTCTTCCCTAAGATAACAGGTCAATAGGAGGGCAACCTTTTGAAAAGAAAAAGTGGTTTTTCTCCGGGTACAAACAATCTCTCTAAAGGACGGCCGTTTTTCTCCAGGTACAAGGGTCTATCAGAAACAAACTCTCTAACCCACGAAGGTAGGGTTACGGTAAGGTCTGCATACACCTACCCTCCCAGACCCCACTTGTGAGAATGAATATTCAGGGTATTATTGTATAATATGTGGCAGAGGAGGAGGAAGGTTTGTTTGAGAAGTCTAACCTCATAAACTCTTGATAAACCCAACGCAAAATATCAAAAATATTACTCCTTTATCACTGATATGCCAGCAGAATTAAAGCCACATCCCACAAATCGACATTAAAGTTTTATTTTACCGTCAAATCTCAAAAAAAAAAAAAAAAAAATTAACCTCATCAAAACCCAAGACACGTCTCTTTCAAACCAAGAAACTCAAAAAAGCCACAACAGTACATATGTTAAATACCCTTTTCTTTATACAGTTTTTCTCACAAAATGACACACAAAAACGACAGAGAAAAGAAAAGGGGAAACAACAGAAAAACTTAAAAATAACACCAAATCAAGAAAGCCATGAACTACGCATACAAATAAAAAAATTGTATTTTTTTTATATATTCATGCAGAGGGATCGAGTGGGGTAAAAGGGGAGAAGAGACTTACGAGTTATGAAGCAAAATCAAGAACGGCAGAATAATAAGAATTCACAACTCAGCTTTGGGGTTTTAGCCTCTATATATATATACGAAAGAAGATCTCAAGCCAGAAAATGCGTGGAAATTCAGTTATTTCTTTTTTGGGTAAGAATAAGAAAGGGTTTTTTTTTTTTATATAAGTATTCCACTCCAAAGAATTAAGCCAACATTAATTTTATTATTTTTAAGTAAATCCACTGGAGGAGGTGTTTAGGATTAATTTATTATTTATATTAATGATAATGAACTTTTAAAAGAAAAAATAAGTGACCGAGGTATACAATGATCTATTTTCCTTTTTAGTTTGTTTCAAAGAGAAATTTCATTTTCTCTTTTGGTAAGATTTTAATTTTACTTTTTCACGTGACATGTTTAAAATCAAAAAATAAAATAACATTTTAATATAACTTTAATTTAGAATGAAATTGAAAAATCTTCTTTATTTTCTTAAAACTTCGTCCAAATTAAAGAGAATTCTATTGAGGCCATGAAAATTATCATTAAAGAGATGAGGGACTAGGTCTTTTTTTTTTTTTAAGAGAGAGTAATTCTATTGAGGCCGTGAAAATTATCATTAGCTGTTGAAATATTTGAAATCCGAATGATTATTTTGTGTGTTTCTTACACTTTAGTCCTTGGTTTTGAGTTTAATTAGGCATAATAAAATACTCTTTCATGGTACCCTTTTATAATTAATCAAGAATACGCTTAAGTTATTGATGTGTACAAAATATCTTGATAAAAAAAAATGTAGTCACTAGTGTGCACTACATAACTCAATCTCCCTTATGGTTAATGGTCAACATTATTATTAGATAAATAGATATTTCTTTTATGATTAGTAAAGTAATAAAGTGAATTTCCTTTTCTCCATTTTTTTTTTCTTTAATTGGATGAAATATTGTGTAGCACGTCTTAGCTACGGGTCATTCCAGATAAAGACTTTTATTTATGCTACAATTATGCAAAATAATAAAAGTGGTTATCAAACTTGCTATTCTATAGGTCTACATATTAATAGGAAACTGATTGATGCATTAAATGGCATTGACTTTAGATGAACACGAAGACTTCAAAAGTTTCCACGATGTATCGTGTATCATACTATACCTTTAAAGTTTTTTTCTATAAAATGGAAAAAACAATTTACGTGTAAACAGAATCAAAATAGTAATTGTTTTGCCAATTATATTATAGCTATGAAATTCTTCGTGACTGTCACCATAATATCCACGCAATTACAACATACATATAACTTAAATCCTATTGTATATGAGTGGTATTTTAAAAAATAAATATCCATTTCACTGGTTCAATTTAGAAAAGTAAAAAATGATCTATTTTTTTTATATCCTTCTTATTAAATGACTTAATAATAATAAAAAATAATAGAGCAAAATTATCATTTCATTTATTATTTTTTAAAGAATGTGTTATGATAAGTAAATATGGAGAGAGAAAATAGGGAGTAGTTACTAATCATAGTGCGTACTCAATTCGTCCACTTTTATTTGTCATGTGTTTTTCGAAAATTAATTTGACTAATTTTCAAAGTTAAATTAGAATACATTAATTCGATATTTTAAACAAAAATTTAGATATAAAAAAATTATACAAAAAGTACTATAAATTGCAATTTTTTGTATATAAATATGATGAAAAGATACATCCTAAAATACTAATCAAAGTTTTTAAGGCTTGACTCTAAGTAATGAAATTATGTCAATTAAAAGTGGACGGAAATATTTTTTTTTTATTGATCTTCGAGGTCAAGCTATCATTTATAATTAGTTTTGCTTGTCAATAGTGATTTTCGTGATTTGTGCATCATCAAAACCCAACTAGGCATCTTTGGACATGCGATATTAGCCTAGTATTTCTAATGATATGCGTAAAAAAAATCACTAAAGTGTAGCAAATATTAAATCAGAAGTTACTGCTTTAAAAATGCAACATGTTAATTGGTAAAAACCTTAAAAGTTGAATCCAATATAAATATATAATTACTGATTTTGATAACAATAAAATTACTGATCGGTGAATCCAATGACCTGCCGTAAAAGTAAAACAAACGGATTACCATTATCACAAAAAAATAATTATCACCAATAAATATGCACATTAACAAAAAGTGCGTTAAAGCCTTTACCGACATTAATTAATTGACATTAGATCTAATGTCACTATAGGCTTTAGAAATATTTATAAAGAGTATTAAATGTCACTAAAAATATATTTAGAGACAATTAAGTTATTGTCCGCTAAAATTTAGTTTTGATATAACTTAATAATTAAACATCAGGTGACTGTTGACACTAAAGATACTCCCTCCATTTCAAGTTAATTGAATTGTTGAGATATTTTTCATTTTTCAAATTAACTTAGCTGTTCAATTTTTTAGACTATTTTTAGAATTTTTTCCAATTTTCCCTTCATTAGTTAGTATTGAAATTAGTTATTAATTAATGTTTAGTTATTTTAATCATAAATTTGAAATAATTAATAAGGATAAAAATGGAAAGTTATGCCTAATTTATGTCTTAATCTACTTTTCTTAAAGAGTGTGAATTCAATTAATTTGAAATGGAAGGAGTATTATTTAGTTGTATTACCAATGTAGGAGAAATTAAAGTAAATATTACATTGGTATATGTTTGATTTATTCAATTGAATGGTACCTGCGGCCTGCCTAATGGAGACCACAAGCTTAGGATGTGATGATAACAATGTTAAATTTCTTCCAAATTGCATCGCAATCGAATATCAACAAAGTCTTAGACGAAATCGAAAGAAACTATGTACAGGTAAATGCCAAAAGCATATTAGTTTTGTCAGACAAGAAAATATATGAGTATATAAAAAAAAAAAAAGGGTCAAAGGATCCACCCTGGTGCTTTATGTCAAATTAATTATGACTTATACAAGTGGAGATTAATATATTGAAAATTATCTGGTATGAATCATGAATGTGTTTAATAAGATAATCTTATTATCCTAGTTGACTTGGCAATCTTATTTTCATTTTTGTGCCAAGAAGAAAGGTCGATATGGTGAGTTGGCATGTCATTATGGCTAAAAATGGAAGACATTAATGGAGGGAAGACAAATTTGAGCAACACTTTTGTAACGTCAAAAGATATATATGGATCGAAAATATAACATAAAAGTAATTTCTCTTTAACAATCATTAATGTTTGAGAAATTGCTTAGAAACATTATTTTTGTTTATTTTGAGGAAAATAAGAATAGTTGAGTGATAATTGTAATTGTAAACGAAGTAAAAGTGAAATTTCAATGCAATTTCTCAAACATGGTGATTGTTTAGGAAAATTTCTCACATATAAGTCGGTAGTATAACAGAAGATTATAGTAAATCTTTTTTATAACATAGGGAGATGTGAATCATTCAAAAAAAAAAAAACTACTCCACATTAACATTAGAACCACAATTCATTAACAAACGCTATGATGAATTTACTCGTAAATCAATTGTAGTGGAAAATTCGAAGGCTAATCGTCACCAATTTATGTCTCCTGATTCTCAAAGGTGAGTTTGAGGAATGTTTAGACCCATAACGATTCCTTGTACATTACTCGTATACGCTTTAGCCTGATCTTCATAACCTGAACGGATATCTATGTCCTCTAATACTATACCCGTACAGGGAATAGACGCGCTGCAACCCAGCTTCACAGCAAATTCCCCTTGGGAGGTTCCATGTACATGTCTAAAAGTAACATTACTAACCTGTACTGCTGAATCCTACAACAACCATTAAACTAAACGCGTTACAAGTCGATTTTCATCACCAGAAGCAGAACATTGTAAATAAAAGTTACTTACATGTTCTGTACAATGTTCACCATCACAGTAGAATTGATCGATAATAATAGGGTTATATGAATTTTGCGTCCATAATCTCTCGAAAATTATGTTACTGGCATGACCTTTGCCTCCCTGATCAAATATAAACAAAAAATTATCAAATAACAGAGCTTGAAAGTAGCATGTATTTAGGCTATGCTCGATTTTTTTAACATACAGTAAACACTTTACCTGCCACGTCTTTATTCGAGCACCATTTGTAGAATTTACGAACAGGACGTCACTAACAAAAATGTTTTCAACGTTGTCATTAGATCCATGCTTGCCTAGACTTCCAATACTGCATCCAGATCCGGTTTACGTTCAATTACTATTCAATCTTCTCACACAAAAATTAAATTCAAGAGGAGATAAAAACTAACCTTATACCATGCCCTGGTCCGCATATTATGTTGCTGATATTCAAATGGGAACATCCATCAACAATTGAGATACAATCATCTCCTGCATTTTCATTTAACACGATCTTTACAAAAATCAAAATCACTACGAATAAATATGTATATGTATGTCCAAAATTACCAGTTCCAATTTGACAATAATCAATAAAAACATCTCTGCTGCCTGAAACATGAATACCGTCAGTATTAGGACTTTCTCCTGGGGAATCAATGGTTATGTTTGTGACTCTGGCAGATTTCGATTTCTCAAAATGAATATGCATGCGAGGGCTATCCATAAAGCTCAGTCCCGTTAGACTAATGTTTTCTGAATGTGAAATTTCAAAAGCCTACAAAAGAATCCTGTTATTAAATGCCAAATATTTGTTATCATAAGTCATTTTTACCCAAAAAATAATAATTATGTTTATGAAAGGATTCCAGAGCATCACAAACTTACAGTTGGTCTCAGGCGGTCCTGGAAATAGAGGTAATAAAAAATGTTAGAAATCTAGAACACAAATGACTTTAAAAGATTTTATTGCATTAACCTAATATACAAAAACAAAAGTTTACTGAATTGACGTACATTTACATTCCACCATTTGTGTCCACGACCATTAATTGTTCCATTCCCACGTACTGTAAGGCCGTTAGCATGTTTAAAATGGATCCACTTATCACAACGATTGTCGTAACACCTCCATCTCGAAGGTTCTCTTGGTGCAGTTATATTTCCATTTATCTGCAAAATCAGTTAATTAAAAGGTGGGAGGTACTTAAGGCCCGTTTGAACATACTATATGAATTCTTGATTTGAGATCAGAGTTGAAGCTTTATTTGAACATGCAATTTGAATTTTTTAATTTGTATTTTTAGTCGGGATTTTAGAAGTTGGAAAAACTATATAAATTTACTCAATTCTAATACAATCTAAAATTACCAAATGGACAAACCATAGTTCATAATATGATAAAACATCAGATTGATAAATCACATATCTATATGTTTCTTTTATAAATAAAAAGTTTGCTATTACAAAATTTCAAATATAGATAATTTTATAAAATCCACTATTATAACTAGTTATTCTTAAACATAACATTTTCACATCTCTTCACGTCAAGCAATAGTCTTATTTATTTATTGCAAATTTAAAATGATGAATCTTTTTTTCTGGTTTTTACAAAATATAAAATTATGGATCAAGTTTTTACATTTTAGAAAAATTGAAATTATGATTTGAAATCATTTTTAGAGAATATGGATGATTTCATATTCACATGTCTAAACACCGATTTGAACATACAATATGAAATCATGATTTAAAACTAAATTGATATGAAGTTGAAGTTTTGTTTGGACATGACATTTGTATTTCTTAAGTTGTATTTGTTCTCATAAATATGAAAATCCACAAGTTGTAAAAACAATTCTTATGTAGAGTTTTACCAAATGAGCAAATCATAGTTCATAGACAGGATATCAAAATGGCATTGATACAAATCTGCATGTTCCTTTTATAAATAAATGTTTGCATTCACAAACTTAGTATTAATTAATATAATCTTTTCACATAATACAAACAATTTATTCATGCAGATCATACATTTTTTCTTTACAAAATATAAACTAATTATGCATCAAATTTTATATTTTTAAAAAAATTGAAATTATGATCCTACCACATATATATGTTCAAAAGCTGAATTGAAATCATGACTTCGTAGCAATGTTCAAACACTTAATGAATTACAATTGGTAGTTAATGAAGTACCTCAACAGTGACGCCTGCTGATACGCAAGGGCCCTCCAATTTTATAGGATGAAGCAAGAACGTATTTTCAGAAGGAACGTACATTGTCGGAGAAGTAAACGATGCTGTACATGTTGCTTCCCATGTTTTGATGAAAGCCTATAAAAGAACACACACAAAAAGTTCCATAAAAATACCACCTAATAGCTAACATTATGTAATTATTATGGATTGTCTAAAAATTACATTGGTTGCATCGGTTAAGCCATCTCCAACTGCACCATAATCAACAACATTAAACACTGGAAAATCAGGTGCTGAAAAAATCAGTGAAGGCAGAAGCAGAGCAACAAAGATTGAGATTAACATCTTCATGATGACCATCTTATGGAAATTCTTTAAGGAGTTTTTATAATACAATTTTAGGAATTATCTGAATCATAAAGTGTTTTAATCCTACTAAAACTAGTCTAATGTAGTAGTTTAATTCTAATCCGACACAAACTAGGAAGCAATTGAAAATCCAAGTCCATGAGTTAATTGAACTAATGTTAAAAACTTTAATTCGACCTTAGTTGACATTTATGTACTTCAATTGGACACGTATGAATAATTGTTCAATTTTATACTGGAGGGCATAGGTTCAAATTAAAAGACATGTTAACGTTGAGGAAAATATGAGCAAAACTGAGGGTATATTTGGAATTTGATAAATTTGCAAAGCCACGTCATATGAAGTTTCCCGGTCCTGCAGATAGGATAAGCTAGATTTTGATTGGTGGAATAATTTGGAGCCATAGATTTCTGCGGAGAAGAAAATAATATTGTGAAGCAATTAGAGAAGTTATTGAGAGAAGGTGAAACTCTTCTTCAATGGCGGCTACAACAACTTCTTACCTGAGTAACTTGGAGCATGGCTTTAGTACCAAGCCCCGATTTCGCCGCCGCTTATTTCCCTCCAATACCGCCCCGCGAATATTGGCCATGGCTCCTAAAAAGAAGGTATCATACTCTTTCCTTGCAATCAAATATCATTCTACATCACTATTTTATATTTACCCCAAATCATACATTCTTGACCTAATTATGATTAATATCTATGTATTTCTTTTATCTATTTTAAATATCGGATATACTAAGCACACGATTTGTTATTTTTAAACTACTTTATTTGAATATTTCTCTTTGGCACCGCAAATCGGAAGAACAGTAGAACACAGAGGTAGAGCTAATTTATGTTTAATTTAATTAAACATGAACTGATATTAAACTTTTGCTCGGACTTTTGAATTTTGGTAATGATGTCAATTCTTTTGACTCGATATTCTGTGATCTTCCGCTATACACATTCTTGAGGTGGAGATTAATGGAAAAATTTGAGTTGAATTCCATCTTCACTCATCAAAAAATATCAATCTCTAGCAACATAAATTCTCTTTTTAGAGGAGTTGGGACCGTATTTCACACTCACATAAGTTGAGTCATGGAAACAATCAATCTAGCCTCATAGAGTAAGTTAGGGGTAAGGTCACATCTTATCAATCCATACATTGGGTATGTTATTGTTGTTGTTACTAGCAGAGTTACAGAGCACCGTAATACTACTAACTACTAATAAGAATCACTAATGCAGGTGAACAAGTTTGATGACAATTGGAAAAAGCAATGGTTCGGAGCGGGACTATTCTACGAGGGCAGCGAACAAGTTGAAGTGGATGTGTTCAAAAAATTGGAGAAGCGAAAAGTTTTGAGCACTGTGGAGAAAGCTGGCCTTCTATCAAAGGCCGAAGAACTAGGATTTACACTGTCATCCATAGAGAAATTAGGGCTATTTTCAAAGGCTGAAGAACTCGGGCTGCTCAGTTTGCTGGAGAAGTCGGCTAGTTTCTCTCCTGCTGCTTTGGCGTCCGCCGCGCTTCCAATTCTAGTGGCAGCTATTTTAACAATCGTGGTCATCCCCGATGATTCCGCGGGTCTTGTGGCGGCTCAGGCCGTTTTGGCCGGAGCATTCGGGTTGACTGCAGTCGGGTTGTTTGTTGGGTCAGTGGTTTTGGATGGGTTACAGGAGGCTGATTGATCATCGGTTTCATCCAACCTCACTTGAAAAATATCTAATAAGGGGATATTTTTGTAGTTCACAGTGAGATTTATATGGTCAATCTCAATTTATTAGTGTAATTATTGTTGTTGTACACACTCAACAATTCCTAATGTTATGGTCATGAATTCATTTTATGTAGTTATTGTATGTGAAGCAGTATATATAGTCAAATTACTTTTGAAGATAATGGAGTAGTTACAAAGAAATGATTTTGGCCTGCTATTTTTTATGAACAAAAGAGAAGTGGAAAACCAAGCCCAAGCTAAGCTACATACAAAATGTAGATTGCAACAATGGGCAAAATAACTTTGGAAAAGTTATTTCAACACGTCTATGATTTTATAATTTTCGTCAAGTATACAAAATATAAAAAGTTTACACACAAAAAAGCTACAGATTCATCAAAATCTTATTCAAATCCTTCTAGCGACTGCAGACAATGGCTGCAAATGATGGAAAATCCAGAAATTCAACATAATTATTGTGAGCAACATCATGTGATAGATTTATTAGCCAAGGATAATAAATAGGCCAGGATCAACAGGATGCAGTATAATATTCGGATTCATTTTGATACCAGTGATGCAAAGTTAGCAGAAGTCACAAAATTAAGCAAGAGTAAAAAAAAATCAGGAAAACGATTGGAGATGCGGGGTATCGATCCCCGTACCTCTCGCATGCTAAGCGAGCGCTCTACCATCTGAGCTACATCCCCTTGTTGCTACTAAGCCTAGTAAAGTAGTAATATTCATCAATTCCTGTTACTGAATTGCTAATTCCATTGCCTCTGTAATTCTCATCGTGAAAGTTATCCGAATTCAGAACACAACTACACAAGGACGGAGTTCTATATGAAGCAGCATCAATTTGACGGCCTCGAAAGTAGCGCAGCGCAAGGACCGCCAGGTGAACCAAGCAAGGACGAAAAAGATGGAGATTTCCTACTACAGTTGTTAATGAACATTTAATTTGGTTAGGTTATATGCAAATAGCTTATCGTTCTAGTTCTCAATACTCTGATCGACTGCCAATTTTGTTGAAGTACTTCTCACTGTTGTTCTTAGCATTAGTAGCTTAATCTTGAATGTATGACATTGGGGTAACGTATCTTCCCTTTACTTTTACATTGCCAAGTCTCTATCAAATGACCTTTACATCAGTAGCTTACTACTAGTTCAGATGTTATTATATGATAAATTGATAATTACACTGTGTATGAAGAAAAGTACATGCGCTAGATGTCATGGAGCAAATAGAAAATATAGTGTAATAGCCTGCATTTTCTATTAGTATAATACAAAGTACATAATTGGTATTTATAAAGCTACCAAAACACCTAAAGATAACGAGTGCTCCAGATTTTAGAAACTTCAAATATTGATAATTTAGGTAGATGACCAACAATGTATGCTACCTACTCAGATCCCTGCCTCTTACTTCTTTTTGTTTTTAGCATTTGAACATCACATATATGAGCAACTATAATTAGGCTTCTGATGGTATGTTATCAAGTTGGTCTCTCTTGTCATCAGGCTTTGTTGATCTGTATTTGTAGCGAGTGGCCCATAGGAGATAATGGAAGAAATTTAATCCACTTAATATGCACATTAGCCAATAGAACCTTTCAAGGTGATAATGATTTAAATTACTCCCGTAGAGCCATGGTGTTTGCTGAAACCTGCCAGTTATATGGTTTACTATTGATACAATCACCGAGCTAAGGTAATAACCCATGGCTAGTGATGCCCAAGAGAGTGCTGTTGTCAATGACCTCATGCTTAAAGGGGCCTCTGTGAAGAAGAATTCCATTAGGCCAGCTAAGCTGAAGAGATCAGCTGATCCCAGGAACAGATATTGCAATGCTACCCAAAGAAATGTGATAGGCAGTGGTTCAGTTGAATTCATTAATCCTGATTGTTCGGCAACTCTCTTCCGCTTCATCTCCACCAGAGCTGCAACAGCCATGGCTACAACTGATAGGAATAGCCCCATTCCGATCCGTTGTAGATGAGTAATGCCCATTTCACTCTTAGTCACTGCCCTGGCAAAGGGGATTATAATATGGTTATATACCGGTGCCAGTATCATGGTGAATATGACTGGAAATATTGGAAGAGAAGCTGGTGGAACTTTTAGAGCACCAATATATGTGTTCATAGTGGCTGCTTGTTGTACAGAAAATGTGGAAAGCTGAGCAAGGCAACAGTTAAGCATAACGGTTGACATAAATATTGGCACGACCTGGACGACTATTTTCACGTCTTGTACTTGTTTGACTGTGCAGTGGAGTGATGGGTAGGCAGTGTTCTCCACTGTTGCTTTACCAATGAATTTGAGGTCCTTCATTTCAGTTTGAATTTCTGTGTTTTGTTCTCCATGTCCTTCTTCCTCACTAATCTCAGTTGTGTTTTGGGGGGTTTCCCTCGTGTCTAACACATTACCAATAGAATTCTTAGGGAAGAGAGAGTTGGAAAATGCTGCCACAAGAACCTGTTCAAATAATTCAATGTGAATTACTCTACCTTAATTTAGTATGTATGTACAGGATACCTACTAATATTAGAACCATACCTTAAAAATGGTTGTCATTGGGCTTCCTGTGGGAACTTTGATCCTGTAAGTCCTAGATCCGAGGAGGAAAATGACAATTGAGCTCAATATTGCTACGGTTGAGATACCGAAGCCCCACTGCCAGCCTTTATTATCTTCTATCCACACTACTAATGTCACTGCAATCAGTGCTCCACAAGCAAGACAGAAGATGTAATAATTGAAAAAGCTAGATCTGTGCTTCCTTCCTTGTGGCGTATTCTCATCGAATTGCTCCGCTCCATGTGACGGAAGTGAACCTTTTATCCCTCCAACACCCAAGGCCACCAGGTAGAGGCCAGAAAATAACATTGCTATGTGGCCACCACCTACTTCTTTGCATGGGGCGTTTCTGTTTACTGATGCACAGATGGGCTGCCTCAGGGAAGGTATGCAAGCTTGCAATGTCAGCATCAATAGTCCCTGTTCCAGTATTTTGATTAGTAACAGTTCATGCGACATGCCATCCTACTTACTGTATGTCTCATGCTATAATCTTCTGAAGGCTAAGTGTCCCGTATTTTTTTCCCAGTCTAACCAAGTGCTAAAGAAGCAGAATGTTCATCATTGTATTAGGAAACTTAGGCACTTCCTTTTGAGATCCTTAAAGTGGTTCCTGAAAAACTAGTAAGCCCATGCACAGTATTTTTTCCGCGACAGGAAAAAATGGATGATTCTGAATAAAAGCCTTGATCACTTGATAATTTTACCTGGTGAAGTCTGATGAAGGGGCTGTGGTCAGGTGGTTAATATCTGTCTTCATTTACTTTTTTGATACAATATTTGCTATATACTGAGCTTTCCATTATTTCTCCATGAAAGCTGAAGTAACATTTTATTATCGGTGTCTTTTTCATTAAAAAATAACCTGAAAATGAGCTATACTGTTTTTCTGTGTCATTGGTCATCAATCAGGTGATTGCGCCGGGACCCATTTTTGCATTCCTGATCTCTAATTGGCTAGAAAAATTCAAGGCATGTGGAATTTGGTGTATATCATTTGTTCTTTTAATAATTAATCTTTATTTCTATTATGCTGCTGAACCCATAAGTTAATAAATGGTGTGGATGGAAATATATGTGATGTGGGGTAGATAAGTTATGGAGTGATTTCATGGTTGCTAGTTTTTAGTGTATGTCTGTTAATATACATGTCCAGGACAACTATTTGAGTGTGGCATCGTTGCTTCTTCCACAGAATACCTCCGAGATCCTTATAACAATATCTTATGGACTGCTTGGAAATTCCATCGGATTCTGTTTTCTCAAGTACAGACCTAAAACAACTGACTGTTTTCTCATAACTGCTGTAATGGTTAATGACACACACCTGCCATTGATATTCTATTCCTTTTGTCCAACTTCCTGTGATTGTTATTAAGGTCCAGATTGACATTCTACTCTATCTACTTGTGTCTTTTGGTATAGCAGACTGGGGGTTTGGGGGGGGGGGGGGGGGGGAATTAACAAAAAAAAGGGAAAAAAA